GGAATCCTAAATCTGACCTTCTGGGAAGTCCCCACGATTTTGCCTTGTTTTGGGGGCATGTACAAAGACTGTGCTGTTCTATACAGTAGCCACTGGCCACATGTGGCTACTGAGAACTCGAAATGTGGCCAATCCGAGTGGAGATGTGCTGTAAGTGGAAAATATCAACTGAGTTTCAAAGATTCCATATGAATAAAAAAATGTGACATATTAATAATTTTATATGGGTTATACGTTGAAATGATAATCTTTTATACGTGTCAGGTTAAATAAGATATATTAGTAATTTCACCTGTTCAATTTCCTTTACTATGGCTACTAGGAAGTTTTTAATTGCCCGAGTGGCTCGCATTATATTTCTGTTGAACAGCAGCACCCATGGTCCCTACCCCATGCATGTGTCCGAGGGTTCTCAGAAGCATCTCGTGCTAATTATATTTCTTCTCCCAGGCGTCATGGAACAGTTTGCCATCTCCGAGGCCACACTCATGGCCTGGTCTTCCATGGATGGTGAGGACATGAGCGTCAACTCTGCCCAGGAGCCATTGGGCTGTAACTACAGTGACAACTACCAGGAACTGATGGAGAGTCAGGGTGAGGAATGGTTCTGGAACCCAACCCCTGATGCCAGAGAGGCCTCCCCAGGCATCTAGGCTACGTGTGTTCATCTCTGTCCTTCTGAGACTTTCCGTTCCTCTCGGCTTTCCTACTCTCCCCCTTCCTCAAAGTCTCACCCTCATCTCTCTGTGCTGTTGCTACCGACTTTGATAGTCCATGACCCACCTGACCCCCACGATTCTCTTCACAGATGCCCTCGCCCAAGCCCCCATGGACGGATGGCCTCACTCCTATGTGTCCCAGGGCATGTACTGTCTGGGGTCCTCGGATGCGTGGGAAGCAAGCGACCAGTCCCTCATTGCCTCTCCGGCCACGGGATCCTACCTTGGCCCTGCGTTTGATGACTCGCAGCCAAGCTTGCATGAAATGGGGCCTTCTCAACCTGCCTCGGCATACTCTGCTCAGGATCCCCCGCCTTTGCTGGGGGGAGACACTGACTGGGCTCCAGGGGTGGGTGGGGTGGACCTGGCAAGGGGTCCTGCTGAGGAGGAGAAGAGGCCACTGGCCCCTGAGGAGGAAGAGGATGCAGGATGCCGGGACCTGGAGTCGCTGTCCCCACGAGAAGACCCTGAGATGTCCACTGCTCTCAGCCGGAAGGTGTCTGACGTCACATCCTCAGGTGTGCAGTCCTTTGATGAGGAGGAGGGCGAGGCTAACAACTAGCTTCTTCCCACTCCACGCCCTGCCTTCCACTCGCACCTGAGGGCGTGGCTGCGACAGTCCCCTCCCACCCCCCCAGCAGTACAGCGGGAACCTGGGCAGAAGACGCGCAGAACCCAGGAGCTGCCAGTTCTCGCCAGAAAAATGGAGGGCCAGGATGGGATTCTGTCCAGGCGCGTGCTGTGGGAAGCACAGCTCCGGGGGCTGAGGCCCAGGCAACCAGATGGCTGTGAACTTGGCTTGGCTGTGGGCTTCTGGGTCTGTGAGGATGAGCTCCAGTTTGTATCCTGGGGACAGGAGCACAGAGCGGCCTGTGGCCACCGACTAGATGTTTCTCACTCCCTGATTTCGTCTTCCAGGAGCCTTGACCGCGGCTGTCTGAATGCCTCCTTTCCCACGTCACTCTTGCTTTTTCTGACTGTTTTCTCTGGCTGTGGCCCCAGCCTGACCATACTGTGTGGAACAGACCTCGGGCTGTTGAAGGTGGCTCCATGGGCACAGGGGAAAGCCACGTCTCCTTAGTGGGGGGCGAGTCTGCCTTCAGTGGGTGACGTGGCTTCTGAGATCAGGAGTCACGGGGAAGGTGGAGGCGCCCGAACAAGGTTCTTTTACCTAAGGTCCACCTGGAGACCGGAGAGCCACCCATGGGACCAAGAACAAACATGGCCACCTGTTGTGGGATCGCGACTATCCCGTGGCTAACGGGAGGGCCCTGAGGGTCTGGGGGAGGACCCGGTGGGCTGGCTGCTCCAGCTCTTGCTTCCTTTGTCTGCCTTCTTCCATCCCCTGCTCTGGAAGCCCCCCGCCCTGAGGGGGTGACACAGAATGCAGGTGTCCTGCCAGGCGGGGAAGCATGAGGGCTGTGCCTCCTTCCATCTACCCCCTAATTCTCTGGAGCTGTTTACACTTTTCTCTTTGCCTTTTCTACATTTTTATAACTTCTCGGGGACTCAGGTCGAGTGGGCGGGACGGAGGAGTCCGGTGCTGCCAGGCCCCCACCAGGCAGTTTGCTTGCCTAGGAGCGCTGTGGGCACTCGGCTCCTTTTTCCCCTTCTTCAGCTCCTCCCAGGACTGGGGGGGCCTCACAGGTGTCCCCTCCTACCTCGGGCCTCCTGCAGAGGCAGAGGGAGGATGAGAGTCGTCTTCCTCCTGGGACAGGTTAGCAGTGATGGTTAAGCCCCTGGACCCGCTTGCCCTTCCACGCCGTCTCCATTCTGGTGGGAACTTGTGCGTGCCGCGGATAAAACCCCAAGGCCTCTGTAAGGGATCCTGACGGCAGGGACTGGCTGGCCGTGGAGCACACTGCCACTCTGTTTCAGTGGGGCCCCATTCCGTAGCTCCCGCAGAGGGAGACTCTGGGTAGCGGAGAGAAGCTGTGAGGTTCCTTGGCCACTTTCCCTCCTTTCTCCTCCCAGGCTCCAGCACCAAGGCCTTGTGTCCTGCTCGTCCTCTGTCAGTCAGGGGTCCCCGTTGCTTGCATCCTCTGCCAGGAGGGGAGCGCTGTTGCCTCTTCAGACCTGGGCACGAACTACATCCCTTCCCTACAGCCCCCAGATGTCCATTTCTTTGGAATGAGGAGGTTGAGAGTTGGGATGTTTCTGCCCACCTATGACCCTACCCCCCCACTGAGTTCACACTTTCATACACACGTGGCACCTGGAATGCTGCCGAGGCTGGAGACCCGTCTTCAGCGGGAAGGAGGTCAGTTCTTGGAGCAAGCGAGTGGGCGTGGGGAGCACCGGTGGGCGAAGAGTTGCCTGCCTCATCGAAAGCTGTGGCTTGTGTTGGGTCACGGGCCCCGACTCCCATCCAGGAGTTCTGGAAGGTGGCCTCACGCCTCATCCCGCACTGCCACAGGTCTCGGGGGTTTGCACGCTCACCGTTCCCTCCCCGGGGCCCCGGTTTGTTCTCCTGGTGCAGCTTGCTTTCTCTACGCACCACCTTTTCCTTAAATCTGCTTCATGCCCCCTGTCCCGCCCCCTGACCGCAGTGGACATCCCCTCCAGGGAGTGAGCTCATTTGTCACAGGGCCTTTTTGCTCAGGGCCCTGGGAAAGTTTGGGAAGGTAGACGAATGCTCTGTCCTCCTTCCCCTCCTCGAGGAAGCCTGCCTTCCGTCCCTGCCCAAGGATGACTGAGCTGTGAAAGAATGAGCCAAATTCAGAGCAGAATTCATACGCTGGTGGGGCTCCACTTCCCAGGCCCCCCCCCCCCCGGGGTGCTGGCGTCTGTGCAGGTCAGAAGTCAGCGGAAGGTCTGCATTTGCAAAGAGGAGAAGCCCCAGGGAGCTGGCCTGGGACCCTCTCAGGACTTCTGGAGGGAGGAACTGCCTCTGGTGCTGGGGGCAGAGTGCATGGGGTTTGCTTGTAGCCTATTTGGGGGGAGGGGAGGGGCATGTGCAGGAGGAGGCTGTTGGGGGCAGGGGAGGGTCGCTTTTCCTTTGGGGTTAAAGGCTGTGCAGCACGATTTACAGCCGTCCGGAACGGGGCTGTTTTTATATTATTGTGAATGAGACTGCTCTTGCTAAATGAGTTTCTTTTTGGGGGGGGGGGGGGGGGGGGGGGGGGGGGCACTTTTATTTTCAATTCACTTTATTAAAGGAAAACCCACATCTCCCATTCCTCCCCTTCCACCACCCCCTCTTCTTATCCTTGTGTTAAGGAGGGAATCTTGGTGAACGAGTTTATGACCTTCTCCCTGCCCCCCACCTGTTCAGCCCCTGTTCCGTCTTCCAGGTCTGGGGAACATCCATTTTTACGGCCAGTCTTAGCATGTTTTCTTAATGTGACGTTTCCCACCCCAGGCCCAAGAGAGGTTCTATGACATATATTACAGAGAGAAGTATATATAAATATATATAAATATTATAGATTATATACATGCGGGCGTGGGCTCGAGTGCCCACTGCCAGCCCCCTCCCCAGGCTGCAGCCTCTCTCTCAGGGCCTGGGGAGGGGGCGGGGATGGGACGCTGGAGAGGGCTCCAGGCTGTGTTCGATGGCACTAAACAGAACGTGGTGGCATCCTCTGGCTATGCGTGTCTCATTTGGGGAGTGGGGGAGACTGGGCCCAGGGGAGGGGAAGGAGGAGCACGGAGCACGGCGGGTCTGGGAGGGGATGAGACTGAGAGAAGGTGTCAAAGCGGGGAGGGAGAAAAGCGAGGGCTCCCGGGCGCTAGGGGCCTCCGGGGCCGCTTCCCAGGGGCCGCTTCCCGGAGCCAGGCCCACGGCAGGCGCCCTGCTGCTGATTTGGGTGGGTGAGGCTCAGATTCCCGGGGGCGGAAGCTCTTTATCCACATTTTATACTTAAATCGGGGGCACACAGGGACATGGGATTGGCCTTCCGCTGCCCTAGTCATGGCCTTTGCTCGGGGACAGATAGTGGGAGCCAGATGGAGTCTGGAGGCAAATTTAGGGGAATGGGTGTGGGCAAGCGGGGAGACCGCCAGGATGGGGGCCCCGGGAGAAGGGGCTGTGGAGGTGGTCCCATCTCCTCCAACATGGCTCTCGCGAGACCACCGTCGTCCTGGGCCTCCCGTGACTCGCCTGTGGAGACTGAAGGGCGGATGGACAAGGCCAGGAGGCTGCTGGGACAAGAACCCCAGGGAGTTGTGGGGAAATGAGGAGAGGCAGGGGGTTCCTCGCCCACACTCCGGGAAACTCCAGCAGGCCCCTGGGGTGTCGGCCCCTTCACTGGGGGGTCTGCGGGAATCGGCCCAAATGACTGACCAGGGCTACTCCCTGCCCACATTCTGGCTCCTCCTCTAAGGCCGTCACTGTCACATGTAAAGATTCCGCATTAGTGTCATCCTTCCAACTCGAGGACATACCCTCCGGCCCGGGCCCCTCGGCAGCCTTATGAGGCGGTCTCAGCAGGTGGTCAAAGGATCAGTTCATCTTCATCCTCCTCATCAGTGGACCGCAGACTAGGGCCCTGCAAAATGTCAGCCAGCTCCTCCTCCGGCCCCGGACTCTCCACCAGCTCCAGCTCCTCCAGCTCACCTTCCACCTTGGCCGGAGCCACGGAGACAGGGGGCTCTGGGGAGGGGGACGGCTCCAGGGTCTCTGGTAAGGCAGGAGCCGCAGAGTCTGGCCCAGCGGCCCCAGTTCCATCCTCGGGCAGGCTCCACGCCTCTGCGGGAGGGAGCGGGCCCCCAGGAGTCATCCGAGTTGAAGTCGTGCTCCGGAAGCTGGCCAGCGGGGGCCGGAGCTGCACCCCCGACTTGGTGTGCCCCTCGACGGCCTTCTGCAGCTGGGGAGCCGCGGGAAAGGGAACGAGGCGTGGAATTGGGAAGGGAAGGAAGATGAGGCGGTGTGAGAGAGACGGAGGCGAAGAACACACACAGGGCAGGGGAGAGAGAACGGGGAAGATATCAAGTGGCAGGAAAGATGGGCAGAGCGAAGGCGCGAAAAGGAAAGGAGGGGGCGTGCCCAGAGACCTGCCCGCGCCTGCGGAGCAGAGTCTCGAGCCTCGTGACCCAGGTCTTCCTTCCGCCCCCTTCCTAGTGACCTTCGGGGCCCTTCCTAGTGACCTTCGGCCTCCTTCCTAGTGACCTTCGGCCTCCTTCCGCCACCTCCCATCTCTTCCCTCTTTCCACGGACTCCCCATAGTACACCCCTATAAAACCATCACTCAAGCCCCAAACCCTGACTCCAAACCCATACTAGTCACCAGAGATCACAAAGGCTACATTTGGGATACAGATCTATGTCCCCTTTGGACTGTGGCCAAATGGACTTTGCAGTCCTCTCGATTCTGCTGCCCAAACTGCTACCCCCTCCCCCTCCTCCAATCTCTGCATGAAAAATAGAGAAGGAGTGAGGGGTTAACCCCAGCCCCATCCCCATCCCCACATCCTGATGCTGTTACCTCCTCCAACGCCAGCACACCCCTGAGCTTCCCCATGCTGGTCACGTAGGCAAGGTGGAGACCGAGGAGCGAGAACAGCGTGTGAGTCTGTGTGGGAAGAGCAGCCGGTCAGCACAGGGCCGGCCCCACACCTCCCACGCCCTCCCAGCAGTCCCGAGTAGTGGCCAAGGACTAGCCTTGTGCAGGGACGTCTGCTCCACCAGCTGGAAAGGGGACTGGTCAATACAGCAGCAGTCAAAACAGACAGGCTGGCTCAGCTGCTCCTGCTCCCAGGCCTCAATCTGTTGGGTGGAGGACGGCAGTCACCCAGTATCACTGGAGGCCCCTTCAACCTCAGGTACCAGGCTTCGACCTCGAGCGCCCCTCTGAGCCCCAGGCCAGAACCCTGAAACTGGCGATGAACTAGCACAGACCTTCCCTTCAGGGTCACTAGACCCCTTCCCTTCTTCCCTGCGGCAGGCCCCTCCACTCCCCTCCCTCACCTGGCCTCCAATCAATGTTCAGCTTCAGGCACTAGAACCCCTCTCTCTTGTCCACCCCCTGGTGGCCCAAACACTTGCTGTTTCCAACCCATCTTTCCAGTCTTTTCTCCTATTCTTCCGGTCGTACCCGCCATTCCAGTGAAAGCCGACTGCTTCCAGCCCCTCAGACACGCCCTCCCGCCTCCGGCCGGCTGGGCCAGGTGCCCCTTACCTGCCCACCCTGCTCCCAGTGCTCTCCTGCCACGCCCCGGCCAACGCGCTTTGCCCCTTTTCCAGGTCCCGCAGCTGGACTCTCCTTTTCAGAAAGGGCATGGCCCGTGCCCACTCCCGTACTGGCATTCCCCTCAGCTCCGCCCCCTGACTGTGAACTCCCTGAGGGTGTGACTGGTATCATGGCTGATGGCTGCGTGTCGTGTCGGGAAATACGAGCGCGTTTGCCCTTCACGCTGTAGATCACCTGAGTATTTGCTGGATTCGGAGAGCTGTACTGAGTCACGTGGTGCTTAGTTGATTTGAGCAAACCATCTTGTTTGTTTTGCTTATGACAGAAGCATTAAGGCACAAAGGCCAACTCTCCCCTTGATTTTAGACATGATGCCCAAATCCCCAAGCTTTCAAACCATCCAGTAGAGCTCTGGCTTTCATGAATGAATCTAAAATTTTATGAAACTCTC